AAACGAGCGTTTCGTACGAGACTTCCTCCAAAAGTCACGTGTCAAGTCTCCAAAACGAGCGTTTCGTACGAGACTTCCTCCAAAAGTCACATGTCAAAGTCTGCAAAACGAGCATTTCGTACGAGACTTCCTCCAAAAGTCAAACAGAAACACCCATCGGAGCACACACATCACGCAGCCCTGCCAAGCAGTTTCGCGAGTCCAGCCCCTCCAAACAACACCCGTTCACACGCCAATCCCACTGTGACAGCGACATTCACTTCTACCACAACTCACGACCTCACAATTCCCTGCGCCTGCCACGAATCTTTCTCCATCCACATGTCTAACGCGCACAAAGTACTGCGCCTGCCACGAAATGTCACCTCCGTCACACCTCGCAACCTCACCATTGCCTGCGCCTGCCACGAGAATCGCACTTCCACGCCTCAAAACCCACACAAAGTACTGCGCCTGCCACGAAAAGTGACAATATCATCTCATGTCAGCTGCAACAGCTTCAACAAAATTTGCACCACACCACACGTTTAGAATGATTTCGACCCGTTCTGAGCACACTCCCATCCACGAAAATCGCCATTTCAGCTGAGACTTGTCACGAAAACAGAGCTTCGATGCCACACCCTGAAATGCAAATCCCAATGGCACGGCCACATCCAACACCCCAAAAACACGACTCTCCAAACGCTAATCCCAATGGAACTGCGCAGTAAACTGCGGATCTCTCAAACCACTGCGCCTGTGCAGCGAAATGCATCACGCTTCTTGCGCGACATGTCATTTTCATGCAAATCACAATGGAATAGCGTCGCAAACTGACACGTGACACATCCATGAAAAGTCACTTGCAAAAGCTTCCCCCAATGGCAGCGCCTTAGCGTCCTACTGCGAACGGTTGCGGACGGTTGCGGACGGTTGCGGACGGTTGCGAACGGTTGCGAACGGTTGCGAACGGTTGCGAACGGTTGCGGACGGTTGCGGACGGTTGCGAACATAGAAACAACGGATCGCGAACAAGACTCTACCCCCAGACCCCCAGAGTTAAACGAGAACCCTTCGCTACGCATTCGGGAAAAAATACTTGTCAGCTGATACCCTGAGCCAACTCACTTTCGCCAATCTGCTGAAAAAAAACAACCCCCAAGTAAGAGGAGTGTCAAGCAGGCAAAGAGACGACGGGTAGCTGAGGTTTTAGAAGAGCGATTTCCCAACATCGCGTTGATAGGCAGGGAAGCGTTGATGAAAAAAGCGTCGTGCAACTTTCTACCTCATGTGGAGGTGTGGGTGTTCCGCCCCACGGTATTTTATTAACTATATTTTTGCTCATATTCATGTTTGGTTCGAGTTCTTGCATCGCAGCTGCAGAGAACTTGATTTCGTTGGCTTCTGGGCTTCTTGCAGTGTAGACAACCCGCTCTTTGCCAGGTAATGTGTCGTGTCCAACTCTCTTCATTCACGGCGAGAAGGCGTTGGGAGTTCGGCGTTGGGAGTTTTGCGTTCGTAAGAGGCTCGGCATTGATAAAACAAACGCTTCTTTCTTCTCTTTCAACAGGACAGCTCACATGCTTCGGGATCAGTGCTGCTTCTACCCTGTCCATCTCGCGGGTGCATGCCCAAACCGGTGTACCTCTGCACGTGTTGGGCCCAAACTGCAGAAGGGTGGAATCTTCACCGATGCGAAGGGAGTTGCATGCTGAGCGGTGGGCAAGGCTTAGCAGAACTCATCACTGGCGTGAGGGTCATCTAAGTCTTGGCGGAAAGAGCCGAAATGGCCTCAACGAATTCCCCCGGTGTCATGTGTCCCTGTGACCTGAAGAAGGTATTTTTCTTGGGAGACTCCACATGTTCGTCATGTTTGGGATCAACATGGATAAGCTATCTGTCTAGACATAACATTAAATAACTATAGAACATAACAACTATATTTCTGTGTGTGTGTGTGCATGATTAGTTAATTTGCCAAATGGGATTTTTAACACCCCAGACCCCAGACAAACCGAACCAAATGTGGGCAACGACTTCCACGAGAAGTCTTTTAGAGGCCCTCTTTGATGTGTATTTGGGCGCCAGGATAGCTTGGTGCCGCCCTCCCATTCGGCCTGAAGCTAAGCATTCGAAGCTTTTCGCGTTCATGTCTTGTTTGGAGCTGAAGTGGGGGGGAATCTGACAGCCGACTGTTTGCTGCAAGCTATCACAGCATGCTCCTAATCAGGAAGCCACGGATCATACAAGTACTGACTCATGAGACTCTTGAGATCTAGTATGCTGCTCCTTGGATGTTCAGTTGGCTTCAGAAGTTGCATTTCTTCGGTCTCACATGGTCTCACCAAGCATGGTTTCATCGTCATCTACCGTGTTTTCTTCACGGAATTGACCAACAGATCGTGAAAGGCAACTGGCAAGAGTGCTGGTGGTTTTGCTCACTGCCACCGCCAGGTGGCCCTCTTCAAGCAGTGCCGGGCGAGGAAGCTCTTGATCACGCCCCCAGGTTTGGAAAAGAGAACCAGAAAGCAATGGAGCTTTTCCTTCTTCTTCTTCTTCTTTCTTGTCCTTCGTGATCCTTCGTTGTCCCTTTTGCTCTTGCTGCCGTTGCTGAAGCACTGTCACCTGCGGTTGGCTGGTGATGCCGGTCCACAGCTCCACGGTCCACGTCGCTGTCTCCTTACGTCCACGTCTCACCCAACAAACCGACGGATCAGGCATGGAGCACAACACCAACTTGTTCACCGACGTGGGGGCACCTCAGCGGTGGGTGAAGCCTCAGCACCACACGACGATGGCCAAAGTGGAGAGTCGTCTTTTTCGGCCCAAAGCGGAGGGACCGATTCGCAGCGTCCTGAAGTTCACATATCCTCAATGGAAGAAGGTTTGCAGATTTGCCGCAAGTTCGCCTAAAGATCGAAAGACTCTTTGGCCTCCAATCCGTTTGCATGTTTGCGTGATTTGAAGTGTGTGCAACCAACCACTGCCACTGAAGATCCAATGGAATGAAGATGAAAAGCCAGATCCACGGATCGGGGAGAACAACTCCTGCACCACCCTTTGCACCTTTTCAAGAAGGAAGGTTGGAACGGGAACACTCCAAACGCCGGGGGGTATCTGGACGATGTAGAAAGGACGGCACGGCAGTTGCTGGAAGCCTTTGGAAGCCTCTTCAGCGGGCTGTGAGCGCAAAAAGGGAGCAACGACGAAGATCGTTTCTCTGAATGCATTACACTGTGATAATGTGTGTAGGAAATGTCACTTGTCCATCCATCTTGGAAGAAAAACCCTGAGGCCCAGTACTTGGCGGTGCCAGCCATCAACTTTTTTGGCCTCCCCGGCTACCAGCAGGACGTGGTTTGGTTGGATGTGTTTGTCCAGTTTGCTCAGGTGAAGATTTCCAGTCAAGACTTGGTCTTTCCATGTTCAAACAAATTGTCAGATGAGGGCCAGGGCGAGTCGCCGTGTCGTTGACTGGGTTGGGGCTATAAGAGTCTGTCACTGCGTGTTCTTCTTTTGGTACATGAAAGTGTAGGCATCTTCGTTTTGGGGGGTGCAGGATGGTGCAGGCGGCTCCCGTAGTTCCATTCTTTAAAGATATGTGTTTTTTGGCATGGTTTTGCCTATTTTTCACAGACGCTTCTGCTTGCAAATCTGACCCAACTCTTGCCATGGCATTGCCATTGCCATGTCCCAGTTCCCACCTTTCTCCCCGATGTTTGGTCACGCAGAAGAGAAAAAGACGAAGGAACGGACGATGCGGCACGAAATCTTTACCTTCCCAATCCCACGGTGTTCCATCTTGTTGCCATAACATCCCAGCTCCAACCTCAGAACCAGCTCCAATACAAACAGGTTCCATCTGCAGGGTTTGCATCTGCATCTGCACCGCTCGGATCAGGAGTCGCCTCCACAGATGCCCAGCCGGTACTTTGAGGATGGCCGGCAGGCGTCGGAGAGGCTCAGTTTTCGTACGCAGCGACGCCGAGTTGCGTCCAAGCTGAGGAATGTGATGTCATTACACGCAGTTGGGTGACTGTGTGTGTATGTCTTTCTTTGGAAGTTTTTGAGTGAGCGTTGATAGTTTTCAGATGTTTTCAGTAGTAGAATCGTATGAAATTGTGGGGTTTTTTCGTTTGCCGACCAGATGGGGTCAAACCGACCGAGGTTCTTATTGCGGAAGGCTTCCCGCAGGCTAGTGGTGGCAGTCGGAATGCTCCGCATTTGGGTCAGAGCGTTGTGTTTTGTGTAGCGGCATTAGATGCAGCACGGCGTGCAGATACACTTGAAACTGCGTTTGATTGTAGTTCGTACTAGCGATGAGGAGGCGATCAAGCAGTTTTGGGTGGGGGGGATGTGGCTAAGGAATTGGTCTCAAAGTTTGTTCAACCGAAACACTTCCTGAGCTTGTTTGTTTAGCATGCTTCCATATCATGCGGTGATTTGACTTTGGAGCGTTTAGAAGAGCACAAGTGAGCAACTAACTGTCCAGGGGCAGTGATGATGGCCATAGCCCATGGTGCAGAACCAAGCTGCTACTGACTCCACGATATAAGATTCGATGTTGTAGTCATAGACACAGACCTAGGAGTTGTTAGATCGAGGCAGCCAGATGAAAGGTGAGTTAGCCAGGAATGGTCCAGCCAAGGTTTTACTTCTGCGGCTGTCCCACTTCACGAGCAAGGCTGACAGCCGATTTGATGTTGATGCGCTTGTGAGGAGACAGCATCGTATACTGTAGTATACTCTGTATATACCCCCAAATGGCAAGTGAACATCCCCGAATGTACGTAGGGTGTGTCCCATTACCAGTTCAGTAACAATCAGTAAAAGAAATCACCCTGTTTGCATAAGGCCTTTTCTAACCGTCATCATCCACAGATAATGGTCATGGGTCATGGGAAATGCCCATGGCCAATTCTACACCAGTCATCTTCTACTCATGTGTAGATGGAGCTCGTGTGGTTTGACCCATATCTCTAGGCGGTTTAGTGGTGGTTCACCTGAGCCCTGCAAGTTGTGTGTGTGGTATTTTGTGTTTGTTTTTCGGGTGGCAGGGCTCTGAAAAAGGAATGGCTAGGCTAGGGCTGGAAGGCTGCTTCTCAAGATGGCGAAGTGTGTGGAAACAGGTAATACGCCACTCTCAAGCAATGACCATATTAATCCATATTTTATATATTCCTGATGTGCGCATCCGACAACATTTATGTACTTGTGCTGCCTTAAGTATTTCCGTGGTTTTGCTTGGGGTTATTTTTGTTTTCCCTATGGGTGAATCCCCTTCTGAGCCCTTCTGGGGAAAATATGTTGTCCCGGTTCCTCAAGAAAATCCCAGTTTCTATTGACTAAAATCTTGCATCACACAGGGGCCAACAGTATCCAATAGTATTTTTTTTTTACATGGAATGTAGCGCCTGCATTCGAAGCCCACCGAGGGCCAACCCCAAATACTTTTGGCATTGGGCAAGTTTTGTCCGCCCCTTGCATGTTCAACCAATGGTGATTCTTGTTCGACGCAAATTGGTGCGGGGTGAACCTGGTTGAACTGTTGCTTTCCATTCGGCAAGCCTGGCGGGGTGGTCTGGGAGCTTCACTCCCCGACCTCCGAGAAAACGGGGAGAAAACGAGGTCACCGACGGTCCCCGACGTCACCGATGGCTCTGACCATGCAGCACCGCTGGGATGGGGTCTCCCTTCCCCCGGGCCCCGGTTTAGGCGGGAAGATGCGGCGGACCGACCACAGCCGGCAGCTCAGAGAAAAACGAAGGACCCCCCGCGTTCGGAATGACACAGATGAGAAAGACAGACAGAGATGTAGGGGTGAGGGGATAGGTATGGACAGATAGCAGCGAACATGCGTTTCTTCTTGTTTGGCAGGAGACTTCAAGGGTGTTTTGCAGCTGTTTTGCATGACACAATTGTTTTGACAGTGATTCTTTGGTTGGCAATTGGGTAGAGTTGGATTGGGGATGTTTCCTGATGTTGACTCAAAGGAAGCTCTAGAACCCGATGGCAAGGTGCGAATGGGAGCCCAGCGAACGTGCTGGTGTTTCAGAGGCCGTGTGAAATGAATGTGGGCGAAGGTAAAAGCTGATGCACATTCTGCACTTAGCTGCCAATTCAATCTGCAAGTAGGGTGCCGGCCCCCTAGGTGAGCATGCCAATATATTGAAGCGAGCAGTATGAGCCTATCGTGTTCATACAGTAAGCAGATGACGTGGCCTTGCAAAAGTTTGGGATCCACCACCATGACTACTGGGACCCATACTGCCGCTGCTGCGCTGCTATTGCTACGACCAATTCTGCGACCAATTCCACTGCCAACTCTTAAGCGCCGTTTATAGTACGTCTCGGCTAGACTAGACTGATTCCTTTTCTTTGGATTTGGTATCCGCTCAGAAATTCAAGCGAAAGTAGGAGCAGGAATTGTTGAGACTCACCGGACAAGTTTTCTAGTGGCAGCTGTTTGAAGTTGTTCGCAGCTGGGCAAGAATGCTAACAGAGCCAGCCAATTGCATGCCGAAAGGAAACATGAAAAGCCCGCCTAAGCATGTTGCCCCATCCTTCAATGATCTTCAATGCCCCACAAAGCAGGAACACATGGGAAGATCTGAAGATCTACACCTTTTTCCAACAAACGCGCGTCACACACGTGAGAGCATTCGAGTCCGACAACGGTTTTGTTCTTCAAGGCTTGAGAAACTGCTCCTGAATCGGAGGTGAAAGTAATCCTGATGGCTTTGGCCTATGGCCAAAACCGTATCAAACAATGCCCAGGGACCAGCAGGTTTAAATCATTTTGTCATTGTCCATCTAGCACGGGGGTTGGTGGCACCCTATGTTTGCTTCATAGCGATAGCCACCTCTGCTTGATATTGGCAGATGCTCGGCCAGGATCAAGCATCTGCCAGGCGCGTGTTTTCAGACATCCTCGGGGGCTCGGAGGTCCAGGCGGAAGTGCTTCGGCGTCACGGCCTCCCCGGCACGGCACACGCGGCAAGCAGAAGCGTCCGGGGGGCGCCCCCTATTGCACGATCGGTGCGTTTCGCTTTGTCGCTGAAACGCCGAACATCGACCGGCGGAGAAGGTATCAGGTTCAGTCGACAGGTTCGAAGGTCTCGGTCGGCATGCGGAGACTCAAAGCACCTGGGCAGGAAGAGTGAGCTTGGTCATTGGCCGGCCGGGGGGCTTTGGGTCGGATGCCTTCGGCTTGGAAGCGGAAAGGAAAGAAAGACATACACACCCTTCCAGCCAGACACGAGGACATGCTGAAACACGAGGAAATACGTAAAACGAAGTGACCAGAAGTTGGTTGGGAATCCATTCTGTGATGATTAGGCCTGAGGTGTGCCTTTCGGGTCTTTGCTGTGTGGGCTGGATAGAGAACCAGCAACTGTCCCTTTGGCGTTTTGGAAAGAGGGAAGAGATGAGACACATGAACAAGCCACAGACACATATCACATGAAATGAATTACTGCAAGTAGATGAGCTACTAAGTATGTGCCTCCACATACTTACTATGTCATTTGAATCTCCATCATTCATCATTCAATGGTTGAATTGACCGAGTCGACCCAATCTCTATGTGTCATTGACCCAGTCGACCGTCTGTCCTGAGGACAGCCCTCGCGAGCGCTGGAAGGAAGCTCAGGAGACCAGTAGCCCAGGGCTACCCGGAAGTGTGCGTTTCGGGACTTGAAACGATCGTAGATCCCGTCCTCACAACTGACTGGATCCCCTGCCGGAGAGCCTGACATGGTCATTCGCTGCCCTGCACGGCCTTTGAGCCTGGACTCGGCTCAAGGGACGAGTCCGCCGACCGAGTCCAGGACGGACGGACGACCGAGTCCACGACGGCCAAGCGCCAGGAGTTTCGAGAGGAAGAGATTGATGAGACTGAATGAAACGGTCTGAAAGCATCCATTTGGGGACGACAACAGTCACCCAAATGGCAAAGGAATGGCCTAGATGAAAAAAGAACCAACAGAGTTTGGCTGCAGCATCCTATCCATGAAAAAAGAGCGCTTCCTCAACCTGCTTCTTGTGGTGTTGGCTTTGTGGATCTTCTTAGAGAAAGACACCAACCAGTGCTATTTGGATTCGATGCAAGGGACGTTGTTGGTGTAGGTCGTTTCACCCAATTCACCGCTTGGAGAAACGGAATGTCGGAGCCAAGGATGCCATGACCTCTTGCATTGCTTTGCCGCACCCTGGGAATCTGAATCTCTAATATATAATCTATATATAAAAAGGTACACCAGTGATGGTTCTACTCTCTACTCCATGTGAAAAAGCTTTTTATGTCTTTTTATGTCAACATATGTCAACAACGCTGATACTCCATTATTCCCGCACAAAATTAAATCATGTGTTCTCTATCAGCGGCAGCGCGTGGAATACAACGGCTCGCTCGACCGAGCCGTTGGCGAAAAACAAAAAAGGAAGCACGACTAAGCAGTTGAGTCATCCCATGCTCAGTGCCCAGAGATGTGAGTGCCCTTCCAGTGCGTCAGGATTTGGTTATAAACTGATGGTATTGCGAGAGAAGATAGCCACCCCTAACATGCCAGCCGCGGAAAACGAGTCCGTCGCGAAAAACCAAAACACCGAACGGTTTTCCTCCAAACTAGATTGACGGAATTCGACCGTAAGTCTTTCTTGTCCAAAGTTTCGAAAGTTCTAAACATGGACCTACCTGCCATGTTTCACGTTCCGCTTTCAGACCAAGGAGCTGCTAGGAAAACCAAGGGCATTTTCTACTAGGAGCAACAAGGACGCTTGTAACGGCAAGGTGGCCGACCTGGCTAGGCCGACCTGGCTCACAATTCGCTGCTCGCTCGACCGCAGCGGTGGCATGCGGTGGAGAAAACGGTCACCCGCTGGTGAGCGATCGGCAGGGTTGCGGGTGTGACGGGTGTGTGGTCCACCAGTAACAGCTTCTAGCTATATCTACTAGCATCTACGTTCGTAGTAATGGCCTCCAACCTAGTAGCGATGGCCTCCAACCTACTAGCTTCTTGCTGCTAGTAGTAATGCCCTTGTTACTAGTAGCGATGCCCTTGTTACTAGGTCAGAAAAGATTTTATATTTTTGAGAAAGGGCTTGGCTAACAATCATCCGCTGGCTGGTAATGACCCAAGATTGGGCTTATTTCGCATGCCACGGGAACCTTTGAGGTCATGAGGACAAGCGGAGGTGAGCTACTCAGGTTTGTCTTTTACGCCGTTGGTAGGTAGGTGCTAGCAAATGTCTGTCAAGCAGCCCTCGGGGCGGCCATTGGATTCAATCTCAGGGCACTGTGGCAGGTTGATCCGCCCTGGCTTCTTGCCGCTCCAAGATACAAAGCTAATGCATGAATCGTAATGATTGCACATTAGCAACCCACCTGCCATTGGCGTGATGAATGTAGACCGTAGCTGTTTTGTACAAATCGAGACGATTTGTCATTGACTCAGATTCCCTCAAATATGGTGATTGCAGCATAGTGCTATCCACTCAAAGGCCGGATATGCAGCTGTTTTGGCTGAAAGCGAGATACCAGTGGCCAAGGAAGGTGAAGCTAAGCAAGGAGTCCAAAATGCAGTGGTTCAACAACAAAGATCTAAGCTAGGCACCTGCAGATGCTTGTCCACCCATGATACATATTCATGACGTCAAACTGCTCAGTTTACCATTGCCGCATATTCCGGCAGAGTATGTCATGTGTAGTCGAGAGGGCAAAAGAACTGATGCAATCTGATGCATACTAAGTCATGTGTAGACTCATCTGACTATTTAGATCTATGGCCAGATTTTCTTGACGTCCCAGACGATCTTCCATTGTGGCGGCGTTCGGGTCGGGCGCGTCGTTGCCTTTTTCCTTTGGTGTGACACTGTTGCCATGACAAAGGTGCCCACCCGAACGCGGGCCGGTCACTGGCCTGGGAGTCCGGCAAAGCTTCGTTTCAGAGCAACGTCGCCCCATCGGTTAGATCAACGTCGCAGAAGCTTACACGAATCAGACTAGCTGAAAACCCCTCATATGCCGCAGAACCCCTCATGAACCCCCGAAAATGATCCCGAACAATGACCTGGGATCCGATCACTCGAAAATAGGTCGCGCGGTAGCTTCAGAAGACGAAACCGGGTGTTTGAAGCTACCTCACCTCGCCCCATCTGGCGCTGGGTCATGGCACAAAAGACGAAACCGGGTGTTTTCCCTTTCCCCAACGTGTCGGTCGGTCGTTCACCCGCCCGTGACCCGGGTCGGGCGAGGATCAAAACCCCCCATACAAGAAATTAGTAATGTCCGTTTTTCTGGAAGCATGCCCAATCCCCTGTAAAACAATAAGGAAGAAAAATTACGATAACCCCCGATGACTCTTGTGGAAAACCCTTGACATGCGAGAAGTGGTGTGAAGAAAACGCATGTGCGCACACACACAAACAGAACACCTACTACTGTTCCAAATTGTCGGGGTCAATGCATGACCGCTCTTGGTGGGTATGTGCTTGGACAGAGGTGGGAGGGCTTGGACCGCTGTAGCCTTGTGCTACAGCATTGTTGTGCCACATGGTTTTCCCCTTGCGCCAGGCATGAAAACGATAACACAATGATAACAAACAACGATAACGCAGCAAGCCTAAAACACCTTTCCGTAGGCAGGCCACCACATGGGTGAATGAAGTGTGCCTAATGTCTTCATGCCTGCAAGGTTCCACCCACCACCTGCATGCAGTGCACACACAACATTATACTACATTTGTTGCAGTTGGTCAACGTGCTGTAAAACGATAAGGAAGAAAAAACTAATAACGTCAAAAAGTGGTATAGGGAAAGGTAGAGAGGTTTTTACACAACCCAGGTGGGTCACGACCCATCTCCATCTCACCCGGCCAACCGCCGCACTGAGCTCTGAGAGGTGTCTGAGGAGCTCATGGAGGGCGTAGCTTGGAGCCTTTTTTACTTTTTTCGCGGGTGCACAGTGAGACCGTTGGAACTGGTGGGAGCGAAGTGGTCAGTGTATGTTGGAGTGTGAGGTGTGTTTTTTCTTTATTTTTTTTAAACGTTAAATTTATCTTGTTACGAAACATTCGGGTTGATATATAAATGTTAATCTCAGTATGTATCTCTGTGTGGTAAAGACCTGATCACTACCATAATCCATCATCATCTACTGGGGATGTGGGTGTGGAATACCTGTGGAAATTGGACAATTTCTAGGAGCAAACTTTGAAGGGATGCACATCCCTTTATTTATCAGGCATATCATCATTCAAGACGTATAATATTCAAGCCGGGATTCTGGCTCCAGTTCTCAGCCAAAGACATCGGTTTGGATAATATTGACAACTTGTCTTGTTTCGATCTATCATGCATCTTGTAAGAGTGGCGCCATCTCTTGTCTGAATGTTTGAACGATTCGTTTGTCGTTGGATCGGACAGCATCCATTCACAAGGCTCCATGTAGAGCGGGTGCACTCCACTCTTATCCCAGCGTTGCAGTCTGTGGTCTGTGGCCCTTTTTGGGGACACTGGCAGATGTCAGGGATGGGGACTAGACAAGAAGGGCAAGGAGACTCAAACTCCGCGACCCGGTTTTGTGACTGACCCTTTGTTGAGATGCGCATCAGTGAAAAGCCAAAGATTGCCCCTTGACAACACCTTCACAGCAACTGAGATCGAGAGATTAGCTGAAGTGCAGCGGAAGCGCCTCATGGTGTGCCTGCCTTGTTGACCAACACGCCCCCATGCTCGATGGCCTTCGTGATGAGTACGCCTTCTTTTCTCTCAGATCTGTGAGTAATGGTGCCAAACAGCCTGAAAGTCGTCCATCCAGCTTTAATGGACCAAGGAGTTCCTGGTGACAAATCTTCGACTCGAAAAGGAACTGTGCTGTCGATAGCCCTGGGCTGGTATCCAAGGGCAGAGGTGGGGGTTTGGTGATGATTTCATTGACGTTCAATGGTCTTTTAATGTCGTTCAAAACGAGTTCGACCTCTTCTTGTTGGGTGCCAACACAGACGTCTCTTGACTGTGCTCAACTAGGTTGGCATGGTTTGGTCATGTTTGGTCGTTGTCATGTTGTTGGCACCATTAGGGCACTTTTGTTTGTAGAAGGTCCGGAACATGCAGGCGTCCCTGACTGGCCCCACCTCAGGTGGTTTTCGGGTTCCTCGAACATGCAGGTGCCGTTCTCAGGTTTAGAGGACACTTCGACGAAGCCTCAGTGGCTGGGTGGTCGATCCTGCCACCGACTGGCCAGGAGTTGCAAGAAGGCCAAGCAGCGCTGGATGCAGCAGTTCAAGCGCTTCGCAGGGGACGGCAAAAAGAAGCCGAAGAGGTGCCTTCAGCTCGCTGCTTTCGGTGGGATACTGATGTAAATCATGGGCCTGTGGATATGTCGAGGAACTGAATCACACAGAAAAAGACGCGGATTCTTGGAAGAACATGAACGGAACCAGGAGTCCCAAAGAGAAGCACCGAGAGGTTCTCGAAGATTGTGGCGGCATCCGTCCTTTTTCGCCGGTCATTCCCTCTTGGCAATCCGTCCCGACCAGTTTGGGAGGACGAAAACGGATCCAGCACATCAAGAGAGCTTGCCATCCAGTTTTGGATGTTTTGGGATGGGTCGAGCACATCGAAAATCCTGGAAACAGAAACAAAGGGACCAAAACAACCCGCAGAAATGGAGCGCTCGTTCCTCTATGTTTGACTGCCAGGCATTGAAGCAGCAATTGAACGATCCAGATGACCGGCCAAGCGCTCAGGATGTGAATCCGCGCAGGCGAGGCAACCTCTGTTGGAAAGTATTTGTGAGGAGGAAAACGGGGTGTAGTCATGTGTAGTCGCTTTTTTCCCTCAGAACACGATGTTAAAGGTGGGGGGAGATTATTGAGATTGCTTCACCACATCCTTTCTGCTCTCCATGTCCTCTCAGCTTTGGTTTCTGCTGGATCTGTCTGCTGGATGGCCTGATGAAAATCTCAGGGACAACGAGGCCGTGGGTGCCTCGGAGGCATGGATGGGACGAGGGTCAAACGGGGTGTTCTGGTACGATCAAACGGAGTGAACGGCGAGTCCGGAGTTCGCACGTATGTCAACGGATTGGTCGCACGGTCAAGTCGACAGACTTCTGACGAAGAAGACACTTTGGATGAAAAGAATTGGGACCATGAAGTTGATGGTTCGAAAGTTGAGAAGATGATTTCGCTCCGACAGAAGGTCGTTCATTTTTCGGTATGGGATGGTATGGGGTCATTATCATAGGGTGGCAACATGTGGCAACCATGCAATCGATGACCAGCACTTTGAATAGGTGTGTGTTATTTTGTTCTGAAAAAGAATGGCACCCTTGCCATATTTTGGCATGTATGTTCTTGTATGTGTCAAGCAAAAAAACACTATAATGAATATCATACACATATATATATATATATTATGTCTATAGCATCACAGTTCTTCTTTAGCTTTTCATTTCCCTCCATTTCTTCGGATCAAGTCGCGACCTCCGCGCGCGGCTGCGCGCGGCCGCGCGGCTGGTGGCGGGGCGGCCTGGACGTTTCGGTGCAGTCCGCTTTCAGGCCGGAGGACAAGAACTGCAATGCAGTGAAGGGTGTATGATGTGCCACTTCATGATAGCATGCTATTCAAATCCATTCAATATATTATGCTTTGGGCATGCTCGAGACATGCTCCAGACTGTTTGTACATGGCTCTTTTGTGCCTTACGTGCAAGAACTGCGAAGCAACATGAAGAACTGAGGGGTCATTGTACTGTATCTCTCTATTGCAGAATCAATGCAAACTTGACAGGCGATAAACAAACAACATTTCGTTGACATCATCTCCTGAAACAGATCTCTGAATGTCCACCCCCAAATATACGCACCAATCAATCGTTCCACCAAGCAATCAAAAACAAAATCATCCCGCAGGCCTGCGGGGTCACTGGTCTCATCCGACTGGGCAGCCCGAACCTAACTAAGAACCATTCTCATCCACTGTGCAGCTGAACCTGTTCCTGAGGTCAATGAAGTTTCTGGCCAGCCTGGCGGCCTGTCACCTTCTCACCTTGGCCTCCAAGGTGCGCGGTTGCTCTCCGGTCACTTCCGAGCGAAACGGTTCGTTGCGGTGTGCGGAGCGGAGCGTGGCTAGCGGAGAGTGGCAGAAGGGGCGAGGAAGAAAGGTTGGAAGAGGAAAACAGAGGAAAACGTTGTGATGTTTGCCATTGAAATACCTGTCTTTCCATAGCCCCTCCTTGGGATTCCACTGGTTTTGACCCACGGCCATGTAGTTGTTCAATGCTCGTATCGCTTGTATCGATCCACGTCGCCGAAACGACGCCTTCAACTCCACAAGGTCCCTTCAACTCCAGCGGCGCATTTGTTGGAGCTGGATGAAGGATGGAATTCCAAAAGGGCCTGGAAGTCATATTATACACGGTTATATACAATTGTACATATATGTACAATTAGACTACATAAAGTCAATATGTATACATTATACTATATTGTATTACCTCATATTACAATATGTTATATTGTGCTATATATTATACGATATTCCATTCTATTATATTATACTATATTTTTCCTATATTGTACTATATTATACGATATTATTACATTGTACGATATTGTTATACTATACTATAATGTATCATATTGTATTCTATTCTATTCTATTCTATTGTACTATATTATGTTATATTATACTATATTATATTATAAATATATGTGTACACTATATTACATAAAATCAATATGTGTATATTATATATGTACTATATATATTTTTAATACATGTGTGTGTATGCGCCCAGCGCCCACGAACCTTCTGTGTGGCCAGAAACCTTCTGTGTGTACTATTGGATGAAGGATCAGGTGCCCAGAAACCTTCTGTGTGGCCACCTCGGTGGTGTTTGGATGCATTGAAACCATGCCGTTTTTTGGGTGATGTCGAAGGAGTTAAAGGGTGAAGGAGCCTAGAGTCGGAGGAATCTGTCAAGGTCTGTTTGGATGCGGTGATACATGATGATTCAGAACGGGATTAGTTTCACGTTGGTTTCAATCCATGGGTTTCAATGGTTTCAATTGACAAAGTACAGAGATGTACAGAGTGTACAGTGGGGTGAGACCGGAACGCACGCTTCGGAGACCACCAGTGCAGGACTGCGCCTTCGGGGGAATTCGGTCAAGAAGGCGCTCAGCGGAAAAGACTTCTGAATTGCGTAGAAAGGACAAGGTGCTCAAAGTTAGTTTTCCTCCCAAGCACCAGACCCCAAAAACAATTCTTCTCATTTGGCCCTCATCTTCCGCGAGAAGAACCTACTTGTTTCCCGGAGGGAGTGGGGTTTGACAGATGTCAAGCAAGTCTATGAAAAACGTCTTCTGGACAGCTCGACCGCCTTTGCTGACCGATGCTGCAGATGTCGCAGGTGCGGGACCCCACCTTTGCCACGTGCCTTTGATGCCAATGTGACGCTCAAGCCTCTCCTGGTTGGAGAGCTCCTGAAGTGGATAAAAGCCAGTACCAGACAAGATGGGGACCAAGTTTTCCTTGCGATGCGTCTTTCGTGAACATCGTTGTGGCGAATGAGTACAGCTGCGGCCAAGGGGGCAGTACAAGAGGAGACTTCTGTTGGGGAAGAGACCGCAACCACAGGGCTGTTTTCAAGAGTTCTGCCACGGAATGTTCACATCCCAAATCATCCCAAGTTCCTGAATCATCCCGGGAACTCGACTCAGACACACCGATGAATCATCCCACCCAGCTCCACCACGGGTCCAGCGTCATCATCCATCCCTTGAACCTCTTCGTTCGGGTCCGCCGGCACCCACCGGCCATCGACACCAGGTTAGACTCCGACATCTACCCGGTGGCGCCACAGGATGCGATTGCTCCAGGCCAGGGAGCTGAAGGAGCATGCATCGATCGGCCAAAACCCATCGTCGTCCCATGACAGATGTGGCCTTCTCCAAAGTCCTCTTGTTGCAAGAATTGCACTCCTGGCCTTTTTTGTGGCAAAAACACCAGCTGAGCTGACAGACTTGGCCGGAATTTCTGGCTGGTGACAGAAGTTTGGGTGTCGAACATGGCGAACCGTGTTTTTGCTTGATCAATTTGATCGCTTCCGCATTGACATACTTGTTTGAAGAATACTTGACTCATGGAGAGACATGGGAATCGGAATCGTTCTTTTTCCGGGTGTCATTGTCCCTCCAGCGCCGCTCGCGGGTCGGCGGCCCCGTTGAGGCGTGCAGGCGGCTGCAGCGGAGGCGCCACCGGGCAGTGCGGTTCCAGCGTACCAGCACCAGGACGGAGATGTCACGCGGGGCCTTTCGTGGTTGGGAGGAGTGGGAGATGTAAAGCATTTGTAAAGCTGGAAGAAGTTTTTTCAGCTTGCCATGTGAGATGGTGGGCATGGCCGGCCACGTGATTTTTGAAGAAACCAAGAGCAATTAGGAGATTTTTGGAGGTTTTGCGAATTCGATCGAAAGCTGGCAGGAGGCGCAGGCGCCCAATAGCTTCCCAGAGTCTTTTCAGAAGGTGGGTCTCAAGCAATGGACTTGTGGACCAACCATCCAAATGCGGACAGTTGATGATTTGGAAACTGGAGAGAATAGTGGTGCTTTGTTGTTTGGCTCGAGGGATGTTGGCCCTGAAAACCTCTCCAATCACAAGCTGTCTGTGAGTCCAACATGCAGGGTAGCGGAACGGAACAGATCCAGTCCGTAGAAGAACATCCATAATAATCTGTCAGGAAAAATGCTCCAAGAATATTATTTGGTGATTCCTTTGTGATCCAATGCCTGCAAGACCCGTGGTCTCATGATGCAACTTGCTTCCTGGCTCTTCCGCGCTTCGCTGGTGGACATGCCTGGACACGTTCATGCGCTTCCGTGCACGCGTGGACAGCAAGTGGAAGCCTATTGGGCTGGTGAGGTCGACTTTGGAGATGGCATTGGAGAGCCATGCAACCCCTCAATACATGACTGTTGGTTCGACGCTGAGGTCCAGGACGGGTAAACATCGCAACGATTCGCCAAGGACTAGTGTGGTTGTACAAAGACATATAATATATACAATATATACATCTAAACTTATATATATATATAATATATATATATATATATCCATTTGTGCAAAAGTCCTGAAGTCATCCTTTGAAGCGGCACAGGTCTGAGGTCACGACCTTGAGTTCAGCAAACGTCGCACCTGTCACTTTGCCCTCCAAAACAGCACGACACCTCGCTTGACCGTCGCAGACACGAGGACGGTCCAGACCCCCACGGAATCTACCAGGTCCAATGGGCGGATGGAGGGTGGACGGACCGGTCACCGGTGCATGCCACGCAGCTTCGTGACCGGACCGGGGCACCGTGCCCGGTCACCCACGCAGCGCTTACCGCGCGGACGGCGGTCCTGGTGCTCCCCACGCTGCTGCTGCGACTGCATTGGGAGGCTGCGGAGATGGAGTGGCGAGAGAAAGCGGTGGCGGAACTGCGAAGGGAGCTGTTGCCACATGAGGTGGGCAAAAGTCGGCGGCATGAGGTGGATGTCTTGTGCTATTGACGAATGATGGATCGGGTTCAAATGATTTTAAAGCAACATGACCAACGTCTCATGTGCAACATACAGTACTCTTTCATATATTTGTCTTGAAGCGGGGCCCACCAGACTACGGTTTGTTCTTAGGTGTATGTTGATGCAGATGTCTAGCTGCATCTAGCTGCAGAAGCATAGTGTTCTTCAACATCAAAGGCGCAACATTGAAACAATTGCACGAGTCCAGCAACAGTTGCAGCACCAGCAGCAAATTCTGAAAAGCTTGCACGGGAACCCTGAACGTGTAAAGTGTGTTCTAAGCATGGTTCAACCAGAAGAAGAGGCGAGATCCCCCCAGATTTGCCCAAACGGCACCTTTTCGGAAGAGACATGTTGACAGCCCAGAAAAAGACATTTCACGCCTTGGGGCTGTTTTTTTTAATTCTTTTTTTTAAGGGGTCTCTTTCACGATCATCACGATCGGCTGTTTCCCTTTCAGTGACGCATCCTTCCCTTCTAAATACCGGGTGAACTGACCCCCGAGTTGGGGTCTCCACAGGTGATGGCCGAGTTTGATTGGCACCTCATCCTTCGCTTTCAGGAGGTTGCAGCCTGTGAACGGGCTCTTTCGCTGTTGAGAGCAGGAGCTCATGCTCAGTCATGCGACGATGGCAGTGCAGGTCATTGCCATCCATTTGTGCAAAAGATTGAGCATGCCATGTGTGGGGAGGTGCCCAAAAGAGCTTCCCAACTCCAGGAGCTATAAGATTGGTTGGGCCTTGAAGCCGAAGCCGGAGACGTTTTGAAGCCTGGTGGATGAAGCCAGAGGCGTTTGGAAGGCTTGCTGCAGTGCAAGCAGCTTCATTGAGCATCAGGTGGCCAAAGAGCACCCAAAGTCGGTGTTTCAGAGCGCGGAAGCGCCAGACTTCGCCAAGCGAGCGAAGGATGGTGTGTTCAAAAAACGTTTTGGAAGCAGTGACCGGCAGAGAGGAATCAAGAAGAACCACGACAATCATCAAGTATGTGCAGTGGTTTTGGAGTAGATGGCACATGGCACAAACTCCAAGATGTCTTAGACAGATGGAGGTCCAAAAATGTCCCACCAACATTGGGGGTAGCCTGTGCCATCAACTCTGAAACCACTCTGAAAGTCCTGATGGACGTTCCAACTCATTTGATTCTCACCTTTGCGAAGGCGGCAACTGCCTTGAGGGGCCAGCAGCTGGAATGCCACGATTCTCCACCTGACTGGCAGGACTGTGAAAAAGGATTCAACACCTGGAAAACAGCTGATGCTGTGCAGGTGGCTGTGAAAAGAGTAGGGAGACCCTCCAAATGTTACACAATCTGTGCGGTTTTAGGTGATGTGTTTATGTTGCTTTCATACCCATTCTCCAGAGGTCTTTGGCTGACCCCCCCTTTCGAGGCAGATGTTCGATTCCGTGCAAGGGTGAAACTGCCATGTGTAGCCGTGTAGCCTGGCCACACCCCACCAATTCGCATAGAGCCCCATGAGGCCATACAAAGAAACCGTTGAAACCTGTTACTGTATATCCAGGGTGTACACATTTGAGAGGTGTACACGTTTGAGACGGACGGCGGGTCAGACAGAAGACGGCAGGATCCGAACGGCAATGACTGCTTTCAGTACAAGAAAGGCGCAAAGATCCATTTTTGTTCGGCGCTTCGTCTTTCGTCTGTGCTAAGGAATGTGAAAGAAAAGCAGAGTTTGGGAACGGATGGTCTTTTCGTGCTAAAGGATGCTTGATGGCCTTTTCGTGGAACATCCACCTAGCCAACGGAATTAGGTCCCAGGCGCATGCGTCGCAGGCGCATGCGGCTTGGACTCGCAGTCCATCCGTCATCCGTTGACCCGTCGAAGCCGTCGACTCGATCAGGTGCCTGGTGCAGTGCTTCTGGCGCTGGAGATGGTTGGAAGAGCTCATGGGGAAACTTTCAGGTTCCTGGGCCCAGCACATGTGCCGGCAGAGGGCAGGCGATTCGCAGTGCGATTCGAAGCAGAAGTTAAGCCACAACATACTTCGGTGACAAGAGAACTGAAGATAATGCCGGCACTGCAAGTTGAAGGATCCGTTTGTGCTGCAGCTTGATGCAATCCCTACAAAACAAAACAACAAAGCATGTGTGGATGGCCTGAAAACATTCCTGGACAGTGACCAGCATCCTCACGTTTCAGTTGCAGATGTCGATGTCGTTTGCTTTCAGATCCCCAGAATGCTGAGGAGTGGTCCAATAGCATGGCAGGGAATGGCCCACAACAAGTTTGCTGCGCCTTGGACGCAGCACGCAGTGCTCATGAGCCAAGAGACGGGCTCAGCTTTGGCCGGCTGGGATGGGATTGGCATATCTCAATCAGCTTTGCTTGCATCTCATGCATTCTCCACCGGCTGAAGTCTTCCTGCGGCATATCAATGCCTTTCAGACTGACACTTTCAGACAAGTTCTTCGGATGTTCTGGAAAAAATGAAACGCCGTTCTTAGAGCCGTGGAAGCTGGAATGCCGCACAGATCTCGAATGCCGCTCAAGATTTGCCGAACTGCACGTGTGCGTTCTCACTGTCCAGGTGTTGGGCCACTGTCCAGGTGTTGGGCCACCGTCCATGATCACCAAACTGATTGAACCCACCAAGCACATCGGAATCCAAAAGCCCAATCAAATGGTGCTCCATCCCGGCATTTGGATCGTAGGACCTCTTCCTGTGAGGGTTTTATTCATCAAGAGTCTACATTGCTCAATGATACACAACGAACACTCACTGCATAGATGGCGTTTTACTATTGATTGGTTGATGAATGGAGGAAATACCTCCCAGGTGAACAACCAATGGGTATATGGTATGTATTATGGTATATATATGGTGCTAAATCTCCTTAGCGCTGTCCTTTGATTCACTCTTCTTTGTCCAACCACCAGCTTGGGGGGACGAATAATTCGTGGAAGATTTGTTGGAACCACAAACAAAATGCCCCACTGACTGGCCCAAGGCCTTTTGAGGAACCAAACAATAGGGCCATTGGGCCGGGACAGAACTCACCACAGTATTTTTGAGCCATTGTGACGGAGCGGTCGAGGTACCTGTGGGGGCGGCGTGCACTTCCTGGCCTCGGTGCAGCCCAGTCCACTGGAGGGGAGACTTCAAGCTCCACAGGAGGGGTCTAAAAGGGAACAAAACCACCCGAGGTTTGGGAGGCGAGGTGGTTTTGGGGGTAGCGTTTTTTTAAAAGCTGGTTTGGGACTCTGTGTTGGACTACGCTCCCGGCTTTGTCCTCGGAATTGGCCAGACAAAGCCATTTGTCAGGACACCAGCTGTGAAGACATGGGTGCTTTGATGAATTACAGTCATCTCCGAGCGAAAACAAGGGTGGAAGATCCCCAGAGCAGATGATTTGGCAGCAGGTAATTACCATGTCTTGAGGGCTATAACAAAAGAAAGAACTCCGGCGCGATTTGCGAATCCGTCCAAGCCACATGCGAATCCGTTGAGCAGTGGACAAAAGAAAGAACCGAAATATGAGTGCAACGAACCGAAGTGAGCTAAAGCCAGTTGAGGGCTTGCAGAAGTGCAACAAGGACCGACCAGGTGCTTCGCACCCGAGCCGACCGAGCAGGACCGCTACGATGGATCCGTGGTTGCACCTGCCGATGAGCTGCCAGAGGACACCAAGTTTATATAGTAGAAGAGGTTGGCAACTTAGGGGCACTGATTTCTGTATTTGTTTATTACTGTATATGTCTATTTTGGTGTTGGTGTTGGTGTTGCTGCTCACGGCGGCGTCAGCGACCCTGAGCTTTTAGAGATTGTTTCTTCTCTCCACTTTTTTGAGTCCTCATCCCGTACTCGTACTTGCTGCTACGTCATGCTTAGTGCTGCTGTTGTGGGCCCGAATTGACCATGTTAACTGTATATGTAGGAGAATCATGGACAATCTTCATATTGTTGACACTGTTATTTGTTTGTTGTCGTTGCTATGGTTGTTTGCCGTGCTTTGTTGTATATTTGTCGTGTGTGTTGTTCTTTTTTTTTGGGACCCGCCTTCCTTCACAACATGGCGCCCCATATGGCGCCTGTGGGTTCGTTTCATTCAGATGGATGGTCAGATCCGGAATCCAGATGTGTTGCTCGTTTCATCTCGGTTCGTTGCAGGTTCGTTGGGTGGGTTGGTTGGGTGAGCCAACTTGGGGTGTGTCCAAGGGACCCAAAAACCTTCGAGCGCCTAGTATACCATGTATCTGAAACACACAAGATAGACAGTCGATCCGTGCAGAAGGATCATCAAACACAAGTTATGATGTTCAGGAGACGGTCCGTGTGTACTTGTTTTTTTGTGTACTGTTTTCCTGAACGGTTTTAACGGTGCCCGCCGCTTTGAACGACAGCGACCGTCAGGAGTTCATGGAATCCGTTCCGGTCACAGTACCCTTGGACGAAATCCCTTCGAAGTTCTCCCACTATCTCACGTCCATAGACACCCAGAGGCTGGAAAAGCGAGGGAGCCTGCGTAGGATGCAGTTGGCGGATGGCTTGCGGATGGCAGTCATTCTTTGGGAGGGCGGCTGTGTTCGTGAAAAACCGGGTTTGCTAGGTCTGTTAGATTGTGTAGGATTGGTAGAAACAAGAACAAACCATCAAAGGTGGTATAAGCATTATAGCATGGCTATGCATGGCTAAAACAAGGCAACGGCCGCAATAGCAACCCTGAGCAATTTGCAACATTGAGGATGCCGCCAAGAGACAAGACACTGGAAGGGTTGTCACTTTGGGACTACGCAATTTTTTGCGTAGGTTGGTAACTGCCTCGTTTTTTTTTGCTTGTGACTACGACGGTCAAAGCACGGCCCCCTCCAAAAAAGGGGGAAACACACAGGTCGTTGTGTCAATGTCTTGAAAAGCAGCTAGCGAAATGATTGTTCAACGTGCGAAATGCCTCTGTCGGCTCTTTTGGCCAGGTTTCCCAGCTTTTGCAGCAGCAAAGATCTTGCATGTCGTGAAATCGAAAACAACCTTGCGATCTCGATGACAACCTTGTGATGTCGATGATCGTGTTGTGATGTGGATGCTAACATGCTAGCAGCTACGAAAAAGGTTAATGTTGCATTTGGCGATAGGGTCGCTAACACGGCCGTGAGCAAAAACAAGCAAGGCTCATCAACACTCACTACGTAATTTTAATATGCGTTCATGATGCTTTATAGGTACTAGATGCTTTCATACCCTTTAAATTGAAAGGGTATGCCTACAGTACATGTTTTTGGAAGCAAGTCTTAACAAAACCCCGGGCTTTTCTCACTCACGGGGAACCCACACCTCACCGAGCCGTCCCGCCGAGCCGTCCCGCTCCGGACGGTCCGAGAACGGGACAGGCGGCGACCTGACGTGATGGGTCTCACAGCTCGTTTCTACAAGGTGAAGCCCACAGAGACCGAGTGTGGTGCCTTCGCGAAAACGAAGCGAAGATGAGTCAAGTGACCAGTGAGACAAATCAAGGTGGTGAACCCCCAAGTGGTTGAAGCCACTTGAACATAGCGAACATGATGTGAATTGGCTTTCATTGGGGTGATTCTAGAAACGCCTGGTGAACTGTTTGCTCTTGGTCCGGAACTGTTCAATTCAACGGAGAACCCATACAGGTGGACCCATATGAGTTTGCTCTTCGTCCTTGGGCAATCTGATTCAATGAGACGACTGGACCCGAAAAACAACTCGCAGTCACCTGAAAACCAAGAACTGCTCTCTTTGTTTTGTTGAAGAATTTTCGGCTGACAGAAACTCCAAGAACGGTGCGTTTCGCAAACGTTGAACTCATCGAACGAAGACACCGCAACAAATTTCAATCGAGGCTTCTGACTTGTCCCGCCTAGAACTACACATAGGTGGGCAAACAAATAACGGGCCTCTAGACATGAGTAAATGAGGGAAGTTCCTTCTTTTGAGGCAAATCTAAGGGGCGCATCCTTCTGATTGGGTTGTCCCATTGATGCATGGTGATCCAAGGCCGTCCAGGCCCTGCGCCGGTGTCCTCGGCCATTGATCGAGCCTTAGACTATCGAGCCTTGGACCGGAAGACCGAGGACGAGGGAGACCGTGAAGAGGCTTCGTGCTGCCCAAAACGGCAAAAGAGGGAGTGCTGCCCCATTTTCCATTTGCGGACGTCGGAAGCTTTGCTTGTGACACGCCACATGCGTGAATTACGAATTCAAGGGAGTGCCGCCCGCCCAAAGGAACAAATTTAGTTGAGGGTTTAAAGGCTGCTGAGCTTGCTTTTGCAGGGGTCCAAGGACGTCATCCTATGTCAATATGATTTATATAATCAATGTTATAACCATATGAATTTTCTTACATGTAAAAAGATGCATTGTGAATCTCATTCATCATATCTTTCTCCAGTTTGTACCCTACTCTATACTTGTGACACTCGGAACTCGGAACCGATTCGACCGACCGGCATGACCATGTTTCTCGGTGGAGGGGGGCCCTCAGAATTGTACATGGGGCCGCCAGAAGGCTTTGAACAGAAGGCGTTCAACTCTCTTGAGGGGTTCCTAGCGCACAATTCACGAGCGTGCGTAGACGCACAGACGATAGACGCTTGCACGGCGCCTGTACCGCGCACAGACATGGGATGACCAACCAAGGCATGGGCTTCACTGGGGGCTTTCAGCGTTTTCTTCAGCAGCGCGCGAAGCATGCAGACGCTGGAAGTTGCTTGGGCAGAAATCAGTCATTTGATGTCCTTTGTTGTTGATATCGTGTCGCCATCAACCATTCAATGCGATGTAGCGCAATGTAGATGACCACCAGATGCCGGGGTATATATATTTGACTAGTGTTGGCTGTCTTCATCAAGGGAGCTAAACGCCCCAAATGAGGAGCCTGGCAAACCAGCTGATATGGTTTGCCACAGGTTCCGCACAATCAGAGGGTGACCTTGCGGTCCTCCTAGGTTACTTCTATGGGAAGTGGACTGGCACAATCAACATCCTGGAGAAGGGGACATATGTCTTCGACTTGGATTTGGGATTTGACACCACCAGTTCCATCAAGATTGATGGGAAGGCAGGGTGGGAGGACGTTGCTCAGGGATCGTGGAACCACGAGGGAGGCGCAATACTTCCCGTTTCTTCATTCATGTTTGTTCCTTTTCTCCCACTGTCGCCACAGATGTTACAGACAACGGAAATTTTAAAAAAAGATACATAAACAAAATGGATTTAAAGTGACCCCCAAGTCAGAAGAATATATTAAATGCAAGGTGTTCAATCATCAGATAGACTGTATTTAAGGTGGGTGCAGACAGCACAGACCCACAGCCGTAGCCGTTTGATTGAGAAGTCATGCTGCAGACCCACAAAAACAGAAGGTCGTATGCATATATGATTTCCATGGAACCCCCACTTTTTCACGAATCTCTAACCACAACGCGCCGCTGCGGCCCCTGGTGCGTCGCCATCGGCTCCCAGGAGTTGCTCACGCACGGACAATGCCGGGCATCGAAGGCGCGCGCGGGCCGCTGGGGCGGACGGCAGGTTGGTCCTAACTGCGACCGGTTGGTTTAACCCCAGGTGTGAACATCGCCTTTTGGGTTGGTTTGGAAGGTGCTGGCAGCGGTCTAAGTGCACCTGAAGAGGTGGCCTGATGCTTCGGAGATGGTCTTTACACACCACCACTTGGAGATTATTGTGCCACGTACTCTCAAACTACCAATAATAATACTGCTGGCATATGCTGGCATTCCTCCCTTTGCTGCTCAACTAGTTGGAATCAATGAATTCACTTCATACCTCTTTCCGAATCTTTCAGGCGCCGCTTTTGGGCTGAACATTTTGCCGTGTCGATGGAATGACCGCGGTCGCCGAAACCGGCACCTGCCGAGACCAATCTCCTCCGAGCGAACGGTCGCACCGAAAATTGGGGGTCGGAAGTCGCGGGACTGTCGCGGGTGCCTTTCAAAGGACCGGGCAAGACTCGCCGAAGATCCTCGATGAATCTCGATGATATTAAAGCCGAATGCGGGTTAGGTTACCCTGAAGATGATCACTATGAAGATTTAAAATCAACGCGGTCTCCAAAGAAACGTGACAGATCCAAACAGCTGCCAAACACGACACGTAGCGTCGAATGCGTCCTGCTGTGCTTTCTGGCTACTCTCAGATAGATTAGTCGCATCGGTTTGCACGGTTTGCACTAAATGTTGCAGTTACATGCGTCGAAAGGTCTTCGGGAAGTTGCATCGGTTTTCATGATTCCATGCTGTTTTACAATGTGTTGAGGACATGCGACACGCAAGTGATCTATAGCTATTCCCTTGTTTTACGATGATTCGCATGGGCAACTTTCTTTCAATGCTATTTCTTTCGGGGTTTTGAAGCATCTGTCAGCTAGAGCTCCTTGCTGCTTGTATTTTCGTGAGTCATCCATGCAAGCATCCTTGCTTCGGCTTTGCAGCCTTTTGGAGTCGCTCACGTACTCCTTTGGCATTTCCTTCGGCACGGCGCAGGGCAGTGGGGACAGTACGCCAGACTTCCCAGCTTGGACTTTACATGCCGAAAACGGTGTTTTCGTGCAGAAAACCCGGCGCCTTAAATATTCTGGGGTATACCCATACCTGTTGGTATCCACGGTATAGGGTATCCAAGGGACCCCCCATGTTTTCGTGCTGGTGAATTGATTTTTTGCTGCAGGATATGGGTCCTGAAAGAAACCTGTCTCTTAGAAAGAAGCAAGGCCTCTTAGCTGTGAAGACGATCTCCGCATCTCCAGCAGAGCTTTCGAATTAGATCGACCACCATGGCTCTCGCCACGGCCACCGTCCTGCGTCGCCACGCTTGTCGTGTCCCCTCCGCCACCGTGGACGGAAACATCGACCGAAGCCGGGAGTTGAACCGCATCGCGACCTCGCTCGATGGGTAAGCGACAACGCTTTACGTGCGACGGCGCGTCGCCTGGGCGAGGCGCCATACGCCTGTGCAGTGAAGCGCTGCATCTGGCTGGATGGAAGCTGTGTGGCACCTACAGGCGTTCCAGGCTGGCTGCGACAAGCTGCAAGCCTGCTTCAGCAGCATGGGTTCCAGTCTTAGGAGAGGAATCTGAAGCTGACATGTTTAGCCTCATGTGATGTGTATACTTATAATATATATATATATATGTGTGTGTGACAGCATAAAACATTCATGTAATTATATGGACCGGATATATGCACACTCAAATCATGTGGTATGAGGTTCTTGTGATGAGAGGTTCTTGACATGCCCACGGGAGCAATCCGTCAAAACAAGGTGTTAATAAATTTTAAGAAGATGACTAGGGAAGTGATATGGCCTTCCCCAACACTTCTTTGGTGGAAACAGGTCTTCATTCAAGGGAAAGCCATGCCTCCGGCGATGTCTTGTCCGTCCAACTGTGGGAAACGATGGCCCCCCGTGGTGGCAGAAGATTAGACAAGAAGTCTTGACTCGACCACTGCGCCAAGCCATGGACATTTCAGGGTCATGAACGATGAAGATTACAGGTTGAATGGAGGCTCCAGATGAAGAATTAACATGGGTGTCAAGTATATACAGTATAAATATATATTTTTTTTTACTACTCTGAATTCATATTTAACTACTCTGAATTCATCCTCTTCTTTTGTCCACAGATTGAACTCCTATGCACAAAATTCCGCGCAAATCTATCAATGCGATCTTCTTTGAAGACACCTCCGATGCTCTGCTTTATATTGCATACATCACACATTATGTGTCAAAGCCTGTGAGATGCTTCTTTTCGAACGCAGACAATCACATCTTCTATCCTATCAGGTCATGTTTCCCGGCTTCCAGACTCGTTGCCAGCAGCCAACCAGCTAGTTACTTTTTACAATCCATCTTAGCCCGAATTTGCAGATTCCAATCATTGACCTGTGGAGATTGTTCTTGCTGACCGCCCGACTCAGACGGCCGACCGCCCTCCGCGCCGTCGCCCGCGGTGGCGCTGGCGGCGGCGCCGGCGACGCCGCAAGCCTGGCCGCGGCTGGTGCCGGAGCGCCGGTCCGATGTGATGAGATGCTTGGCCGGTGAGGGAAGGAATGCGATCGCATCCGATCGGGCGAAAGGTCCTGCAGACACTTGTGCATTCCATGATAGCAGATCAGATATGACCAGATCTTTGGATATCTGGTAGGGTGTGTTTCTTTTCATCAGGTCCGTGGCATGCTGCAGCTGTGAGCCTTGTGGAGGCACCAGCACCTGCACCCGCACCGGTCCATCTCAGTGCAGCTCCTGCGTTGTCCCCGGCGCCGGCGTCATCCGCGCGGTCCCCGGCGCTCGTGCCGCCGGTGCCGGCGCCGGCACCTGCACCAGCGCCCGCATCAGCGACGGCACCGTCACCAGCAGCAGCTTTACCTGAAGCGTTTCAGGCTGAAGGAAGACCTGGTGAGATGCCACTGGGCAGAAATTGAGAAGCATCGCCAGAGAACAAGTGATTCCTGTATAAACTCCTGTATATAGGTTCTCTCACCTGGCAAGAAGTGATGATAGTGACGTCATGACAGCCTTCCGTTTTCCCAGGCTTTGTTTGGACAACCTGCCAGGATGCTCCTTACGCAAGAGTTACAGCAGAGTCATAAAACGAGGTGGACTCGTGATTGAAGAATATGAACGCCAGCCAGCATGTCCCAGAAAGGCTCTTCATGAGATGTTGGCTCAACTCGAGGCTTCTAAGCGCTGGAGGGCATTGCATCGAAGTTCTGGTGCGTGCTGCAGCTTGTCACAGTTCTTGGGCCGGGCATAGGCAGTGAGTGCGAGCAAGCACCGCCCCAAACTACGCACCTTTTTAGATAGAGTTCAAGTTCAAGCAAGTCGTCAACAGCCGACATTGAATCAAGTTAAACAAATCATGGATAATGTCACAATCTTCATCAACAATCAAGGCATGTTTAAGCTATTGAAATAGTATGTCGCACGTCGGACTGCGACGAGTTGATCACCAAAATAATACAAAACCTTCCAGTCATGCTGAGGATTCCAACAGCCGATCCATTCAGCTTCAGTGGCTTGGCTTGAGATTTGACCACAAGTGGATGGCAAATGGTATCAATGATCCATTTGCCCAAGCACCCAATTTGTCCAGAAGTTTGATTGCGACTTGTGTTTGTGTGAGCTTTGACACAAACTCTTCTTGAGCGGGAAGTTTAGGGTCCATTCAAAAACACGGTAGAGGGATTGAATAGGATTGATGCCATGAAGTCATGCCTTCTTTGGCTTGAACATGGTGTGTTTCTCAGCACACTTTTGCTCAAGACATCATTGGTCCTCCACCTGAAGGGGTGCAGAGGCCTTTTTGGTGTCGAGTTCAAACGTGACCAACGTGGTCGAGTGGTCCATAGTTGTCCTTCGGCCATGAAGTCTGATGATCAAAGATCCTCGGACAAGTCGGATCGGCGGCTGTCGGTGACAATCGACGACGGTCCGACCGAGATCGTCAAGCCCAAGCTCTCCCAGGACAGTGTGGACGTGGCCATCTTGTCCCGAACCACCAGCACCTTTCGTTTAGGCGCCGAGGGGGAGCCCATCACCTCGCCGGGGTCTCATCAGGCCTTTCCCTCCCCGAAGAGCGCCTTCTCAGAGTCCAGTTCACGCTCCAACCTGGAGAAGTTGAAGGTTCCATGGGATGCGCGTTCCGGAGCTTCCGTGATCGAGTTCCACGACACAGCCCCCACCAAGGATTATACCATGGATGAAGAACTTGGAGTAGGGGGCTTCGGGACGGTCTACAAGGGCACCAGCAAGACCAACCAGAAGGCAGTGGCCATCAAGATCATCGCTCGTGAGCGTTTGCACTCAGAGGATAACTTCCAGGATGAGTTGAAGGTGGCAAGGAAGCTGGCACATCCCAACATTGTCCGGCTACATGCTTCCTATCAGGACGGAATTATCGCGCCAGGGCGGTTCAAAGCTTCCAGTTGACCAAGCTGTCAGCTGGCGTTTTGACTCACAGACACAGACAGCTTGCAGACAGGCGAGACACTCCGCAGGCCACAGACAGGTCCGAGTCAACCCAGGTAGCAACTCTACGCCTCGGAGACGGGGGAACCCATTAGTCCAAAGCCTACAGCTTTTGGGCAGACGTGTTGACGGTGTGTTGACGCGAGCAACAGTTTTCTGCGTGTGTATCCCAAAGCAGGGACCCCTCAGTTTCGGGGTCTGAAGAGAACATAAGATATCCTGGTGTTTTAACAGGGTGCCAGAAGTTCACGTTCCCTTTAGATCGAAAGCTGTGTGAAGTGTTTCTGAGAACCTTGTAAAGCGCGATGCTATTTCATTTCATCATAGGAACTGGATTCCTACGGATTCTATACTGTACATGGATTTCTGAATGGATTTGATTCTTATTTTCATGTCCTGTCTGCCATTGTAGCATGAGCTGCAGAAGTCTATCGACAGCGCCACGTGCCACAGACATCCACGTTTCTGACCGGTCGACGAGGTCTCAGCACGTTTGACCTGCCACATGCAGTGGTGGAATCAAACCAAAGAGGAAGATCTAAAGAACAAATCTAAGGGGTTCTAAGGGTTCCCGGTTTTGGGTGGCGCCAGGTGGTAGGTGAATGTGTTTCATCTCTTTGGTTTCCTACCGTGTTCTCTCTCTCTCACTTGTGGGGTGTCTGCAGGACTCTGCGAGCTACTACCTGGTCATGGAGTTTTGCCCTGGCGGGACTTTGTCCAAGTTCGTGGGCACCAAAACCATGGCGAAAGATGACATCGGCCTTTGGACCGTTGGCCTGGACTCCGATCTGTTTGCCCGCTATGCTTGGCAAATGCTCAGTGGGGCTGCCTACCTTCATCACCACCGCATCGCACACCGGGACATTAAGCTCGAAAACTACATGAGGATGTCCGAGGACGAGGAGGCGGACCTGAAGCTGATTGATATGGGCCTGGCTTGCAGGTTTAAAAACAAGAAGACCATGGAGGACGGAAAGGCTCTGAATACGTTGAACATCAGCACCTCTTTATTGGATTATGATCTTTGTGTACTTCCCATGTTCTTGGGATTTCTTGGGTACATGACATGATTGGATGTATTTGCTGCATTATGGTTCCAAGAATCTCGTCAGAACGGGCTTCTTGAACTTGAAGTCATCAAGCAAACATTGATTTTTGTGTTTTGACACAAAAGTATCATCAACACCTGGGAAGACCATTATGTCGACATGTTTACTCTATTTTTTGTGATAGGGTTTGGGAACACATAAAACACAGTCTTTTTTACATGAGGTAAACACCAGGATTGGCATAAAAGTTGCTTGTACTGGATTGTATTGGTGCATGTTGCCTCAAACACTCCGGTGCTTTTTTGGTTTTCGTTGTTGTTGTTGTTGTTGTCCTTAATTATCCGCAAGAATACTGCAAACATGTTGGCTTCAGAGTGTTTCTTGAAGAAGCCGCTGTAAAACACACCGGCTTTGAGACCTTTTCAGATGCAGTGGAAGTAGTTAGAGCACACGCCATAGACGGCCGTTTGTTTTTATTCATTGTTCTTTGCCGCCTTGAGTGTCTTTTGAGCTGACTTCAGCCACGCGCACACGCGTTCATGCACGTTGTGATGCCACATGTACATTTCAAGATGGTGATGCGATGCCATATGGTGTTGGATGATCGAGGGGTGGGGTTGGGTGGGGGGTAGCCTAGTTACATATACTAGTATAGTTATTTATGTTCGTTAGAATGTCTTTCGAACATGATGCCACAGGACATGCACCACGCGCCACGCGCGTTTGAAGATGACGTTCGGTCGGATATGCCGAGAATGCAACCTTGCAGCATGCATCACATGTGCTTGCTGGAAGCGCTAAGGGTGTTTGGTATTCTGGTTCGTTGTGTTCCTTGGCAGGATGCAGAGGTTCGGTACTGTTTTGAAGTCCAACCAACCGTCGTTTTGTCGCTCGCACCATGGCTGAGTGTTCCTTGTCTGTCCCTTGAGGGCTGGCGTTCGTTGCGGTCGAGACAGTGGAACCCCCACGAAGGTGGAAAACCTTCTGTGACGCTTTGAACACCCCTGATCCTCTGGTGAGTGAATGAGGTTGCCTTTTTGCTTT